GTAATTTTAGAGCTGAAAGAGAGCATAGAATTTAACTTAGTTTTATTCCTGGTTGTAAATTTGACYACCTAGTGCAAATTTTTTTCTTTCTCCCTGTAAAGAACAAGGTTCATAGAAGTATAGCACCCTTCCTTTTAACCCCTCCACACAATTCATTAAGAGCTTCCCTATTTGCCCAGGCCTCTCCACAGGCACCTCTCTGTGTGRTGTTTTGTTTAAAAAGCACACATTCTTAACAAGTCCCTTACCTGYTGAGGCTGCTCCTTTTCTTTTTGTGACCATGCACCTGCCGAGTGAAAACACCAAAGCCCAGTACAGGGAACTCCAAGCCTATTCAAGACCAGTTACTGTGCTTGAAATAGGTCCCATCTCTGCAAGTCAGAGGTCCAAATCTCCACTCTGAGGACTGGAACCAACAGAAGCCATTCTTTTGGAATCCCTTTACAGGTCTGTCTAGCTTGGTGAGAATTTTACGGGTGTTTTAGTCAGCTTCTTTTTGCTGCTGTGAATAAAAGACCCGACAAGAACAATTTTAGAGGAGGAGAAGTTTATTTACAGGCTCATGGTTTCCRAGGTCTCAGTCCATGCACAGCCGGCTCCATTCCTCTGGGCCTACGGTGAGGCAGAACATCATGGTGAAGAGTGTGGTGGGGGGAAGCGGCTCACATGATGATCAGGAAGCAGAGAGAGACTCCACTCACCAGACAAAATATATACCCCAAAGGCATTCCCCCAGGGACCCACTTCCTCCAGCCACACCCTATGGGTGTTCAGTTGCCAGTCAGTTAATCTCATTAGGCAATTAATTCACTGATTGGGTTAAGACTCTCATAATTCAATCATAAACCTTCCTGCATTGTCTCACACATGAGCTTTTGGGGGACACCTCACATCYAAACCATAACAATGGGAAARCATACAATTGAATTATAAGCTATTGTATCACTTAAGGTTTGGTCCTGCATCCTCCAAGCAGTKTGCAATTAGTGGGAAATGCTGAGATGGTATATGTACAGTGGAAGAGTGTTGTGGGGAGAAGCAGAGAGGACCCTGACAAGCAATCAGAGCATCTCAGTGTTCTCATCTCTGTAGTGGGGTAATCGTCCTTCTCTGTAACATGCAAAGTTGTGGCAAGCTTAGGCGAGATAATATTTGCAGAAACTCTTTGTAAATGCCTGGTAACTCTATTAGCTAAACTTCAATAGTTTGTATTTCTTTTTTCTTGTCCATCTTCGTATCCCCAGACGCAGCACAGTGCTTAATCAATGTTGAAGGAGTGGATGAATAGCCGACCAGATGGCCTTGCTCGTSGGGGGAGTCTAGGTTTCTCCTTGATGTTATACATCCTGTAGAAGTCAGGACTCTGAGCTGGTCTCTTGTGTGATTTAAACACCCTTTTAAGGAACCTTTCTAAGCCTAGGCACCATGAGAGCTGATTTGAAATACATGTACCTTGGATAGCAGTTGGCAAATCCCTGGCC